GAAGTGCGGGCGAAATGTCTTGTGAACTGATTTCCCAATCCCCTTTCGCGTAGTTGGGGAACTCGGCGACATGCTCACAGCCGAACTGCTGTAGGAGGCCCGTGGTAAAGGCCGCGGACACGCGCGCACAGCAGTCGCCGTACGCGGTGGCACAGTCCGAAACCGAACCACCAGCCTGCTAGGTCCATTCGGAGAAGTCAAAGGCAGAGGCATCTTCGGAAGGGACACCTCGCACTTTCGCGCCCATATCGGTAAGAGCAAGGCGAAGCGTTTGGCAAGCTGTTCGCGCGGACTCGGTAGTTTTCACCATCTCCCGTGAAAACCGCCGCGACTCCGCAGCAGCGCTTGCCTCGGCCTTGCAGACTTCCTGCCGAAGAGCCTCCATCTTCGACTCGGTAAGGTTGTAGTAATCCACAAGCACGGCGGAGTGGGCCTTTTCTTTTTGCAGTTCGGCCTTCAAGCGTTCGACTTCGGCCCTAGCTTCATTCCCTTTTTCCAGTTCCAACTGGAGCCGCTTGTTTTCGGCTTTCGTCTCCTTCAGGGTGTTAGCCAGGACCTCCATCTCAAGATTTTTGCGGCCTATTTCGTCATCCTTCGCCCGAAGACGGCTTTTGAACCCGTCAAGGCGGGCTCGCACGGTTCGCTCTGTTGAACAGTGAGCCGCAAGGATCTGGGCGCAAAACAAGAGCGGCGAAGAGAGCAAGTGTCAGCAAAAGCAAAGATAAGAACAGAGAAAAAGGAGGGGAAAGACGTACCCGAACCACAAGACTTTTTATAGCGGAGCACCCCTCATTGAACTCATTAAGTTCGGTGAACAGGCTCGGGGTGCCGGCAGGCATGATTAGATTGCTCACCCCTTCCACAAAAGGAAGGAGGTCTGCCCGTGTCTCGAAGTCGCCGGGGGCGAAGCGGGGCACCGCAAGCGAATACTCTGACGCGGACGTTTCGCCAGCCGCTCTCTTTCCCTTCGCCTCAGTCAGCGGCGATGCAATTGGCTGACGAGGAGGACTGCCGAAAACTTTCGCCGCGGCCGTCACGATCCTTTCCGCGGAGGCCGAAGCCCCAGCGGCAGTGCTACCACCCGCTCCAGTGCCGCCAAGTGGAGGAGCGGGAGCGGCTGAGAGATCCAGGCTGCGGCCAGCGGGCGAAGTCAGAGTCCCGTCAGAGGACTCATCGTCGCTAAAAACTCGAGCGATATCGACAAGTCCTTTCTTTTTAGCCGCCTTCTTGACGGGGCCTCCCTTCGCCGCCTTGCCAGAGGAGAACGCAACCAGAGCCTTCGCCACGTCCAAGTCTTTTTGGCGAAGGGGGGAGCTATTCGACTCCACCCCAGTCTCGTTATGGCCAGGACTTGGAGTGGGGGTATAACCGGGAGTTTCGGCGCGTCCCTCGGTCACCTCGACCGCGGCATTTTCGACCGCGGTCTCCGTCTCTTCTTCCTCCCCCTCTCCCTCTTCGCCGTCAAGTTCTTCGCCATCCTTGTCGTCAGCGTCAGAATCTGATGAAACAGGAGCCCTACGCTTCCTAGGGGCAAGCTTAACCTGACCGCGCGGCCGCTTCCGCGAAGGCCCTGCTTCGTCACCAGCCTTATGGGGATTCGCCCGAGGAGGCAATTCGCCGTTAAAAACCCGGTTCGCCCGACCAGTTGCCTGCCGTGTAAGCATTTGGCTGTACTCAACGACCGATACGTCGCCGATCATCTTACGGGCTTCGGCTTCGGCTTGGTCAAGGGTTAGCACTGCAAAGGAAAGGAAAGGAGTCAGGTTAAAAGGTCAAGCAGAGAGAGCTAAAGCGCGAAAGTATATGGCGAAAACAGCAGACTTACTGTTCATTCCCTCAGGGAGGACCAGCTTAGGCAAGCCATCAACCTCTTCGCTCAGGTTAACCGCAACCTGCCATGACTGGGAGAGGGGAAAGATGCGAAGCATGCAGAACTCCTCCACCAGGTCGCGGCAGCTGAGGCGGGAACAGACTTTCCTTAGCAGGGCGAACCGGGCCTCCATAGCGCCATCCACGGCGATCCTGGGTTTTCGATTCGGCGCAATAACCCTGCGCCGACACCGAAGAGCTTTCGCTGAATCAGAGCCGGCCTCGAAGGGGATGGTGTGGTAAAACCACCTCGCCATCCAATGGCGGTCCCACTTCGACATGGCAGCATTCGCTGGCCAAAGGTCGGACCGTTCGGGGCGAACATTGAAGTTCACGCTCCCGATCACCGTCTTCTTCGTCCCAGCCGGAGTAATCACCGTCTTGGAGTTCACGGTGGCGAAGAATATGGCGCCGAAGAGAGCAGCGCTAGGTTCGAACCCAGAAGTCCGACAAGCCCAATCGAAAATTGAGATCCGAACCAGCGTCGATGGGCTCAATTGGGGGAGCTCTACCTGGAAGAGGCGAAGGATCTCCGGCAATAGCACGTTGCACGGAAACCGTAGCCCTGCCTCAAAAAAGACGGCGAAAACCACCGTCCGATTGTCCACAGGCTTCGGCACCACAGCTTTCCCCGGGGCGAAAGCCTGCCCCGCAATCAACGCCCCAGAGCTGACTAGTTTCGCCAGCTCGTCGTCATCCACAAGGGAGGCCCCCAAAAAGGTGGTGTTATCGTCGTCGACCCGGCCAGGGTCCGGTCCGACCGCCTGAACGGGGTTTGGTTTGCGAGGGGCCATGGCGAAAGGCGTGTGGGCCGTGGCGAACCAATAGGGTAGGCGAAACACCTACGGATTCAAGAAACGCTGTGGAAGGAGATAACGAAGGAGGAGAGCGCACGCAGTAAAAGTGGCAAAGTGTGACGGTGAAAGGGAAAGGGGTGAGAATATATAGCCCACCGAGTCGACGTTTCGCATACCCTCCAATCACAAAGAGCCACGTGGCGCGAGGGTAGGCGTAACGGTAAAATCCCATCATCCGACCAGCACAGTAAAAAGCCCATTAAGGGAAAGCCCAATACTGTTCACTTCGGCCCGGAAAAAGTAATGATATTTTATTTGCAGGAACAGTACGGGTTTCGGCAGGAGCATCGATCGAAAGGGGGCGCCACATACCATACCACATGGTTTGCACGGTCTCGGCCGAAGCTCCGCTCTCACCCTTGCCCGCGAGGGGCTTGTTGGCGGATGGCATGAGTCCCTTCGACCGAATCTGCCGAAACCCATGGCGAAAACCACGAGCCAAGGATGATGCGAGGCGAAGGGTCGCACGAGTGCACGCCGAAGAAGGACGACTTCGCCATGCCGAAGAAGGACAACTTCGCCAGGACCGGTTCGCCCCGGCATCCAGCCCAGAGAAGGACAGCTTCGCCAGGTCCAGTTCGCCCCCGCGAGGGCCAAAGTAGCCTTCTCGGCCCACCAAGCATAGAGGCCATAGGGCCGGCGATCGCCCGATGGCCCATCAAGGGCCCATGAGCCCCCCTTTACGTTATGTAACCCTGTAAACGTCCCTTTCATAAGGGCAACTATGTAAATTCCTCAGTACAACCTAGACCCTAGAAGTGAGAATCTGTAACGGGGCTATAAATAGCCCCCTAGGGCCATGTAATACAGGGGAGAAAATTCAAGAAATCAATATACTTCGTTTCTTTCCAACCACTGTTAAGTAACCACGTCTTTCGACGTATGCGGTTGTCGTTTCGACAACACAGTTAATAGCGGCTAAATTGTAAATGAGAGTAAATAGCTAGACTCTTCTCAAACAACTATGGGCATCATCTTTTCACTTATGCTTATCAGGCAAAATTTGAATTTTCAATATTAAATTTGGAGCTGATTTTGAGATTTTTTTCATCGAAGTTTATTTTTCAGCCTTTGCTTTTAGATCGCTAAGAATACGTATATAAAAGTTTTATTGATAAATTATTTTTCGTTTACAAATAAGCCGTTTCGCTTATACCGCCAATAAGAGAAACAATGGCTTCGTATGTCTCTATATACATATATAATATATATAGCGGCAGCTATAGCCGGAAATTTAAAACGGCGAGGAATCTAATCTAACGGCACTTTCAAGAATAACGCCATACTATACATACCTGAGTCATCTCTATCTTGCTTGAAATAGAGGAATCCGAGCAGCAATCCAGCCAACGAACTCGTCAAGGCAAGAGCACCTTTTACGGCGCCATGGCCGACGCCGAGATCCCTCTGCGCGGAGAGGGACGGGAGCGTGAGCCGCTGCGCGCGAGTGATGAAATTTTCGATCTGAGATCAGGGGGGGAAACGGAGAGAGACTCACGAGGGTGCGGAGAGCGCGTGGCTTCGCTGGCCTAGTCCCCGCCGCCGCCGCCGATCGCCGCGCCTGCGCGCCGCGTGCCGAGAGCCTCCGGTCGAGGAGAGATGCGAGTGCGCGGAGGAACATGGGCCTCGAAATCTCGATCGATCGGAGGAGACGCCTCGATTTCTAGGGTTTTGACGGACTTCGCTGTGGGAGGAGTGGGAAGTGCGGATGCGCAACGGGTCGAACGGATTTCCGACAAAATCCGATCAAATTTTGTCAAATCAGATATTTAAAATCCAGTTTGATTTTCCCGTCGGTTTTTTTGTAAACACCTGAGGAGGGTCGCATGGGCCGTGCGCACGCGCAAAATTGGGCCAGTATGGGCTTCTACCTTTCCTTCTAGCGCGCGCCGGTGCAACTTGGACATCCACGTCTTGTGCTCTGCCGTGCCGGCGACGGCGGCGGCGGCGCTGCCACCGTGAACCGCGATGGCGGGCACGGCGATGAAGAACTCCTTCGCGCCAACATGGCCGCATGGCTAACGACCTTGTCATGAGAAACACCGGTCTCGACCTGATGATCCTGTTTTATTGTGAATATATACGCCACTAGACTATTAGTAAAAATGCATAATTTTTACAGGCAAAACTTGACATTTATTAGTACACATACATCAACTATATTATCTCATATTAGTTCTTAGCGTACACATGTTACTTTGGATTTTGGAGAAAGATGCCAAGTAGCTTTCGAATTTCTGTTTAACAATGTCCGGAATGTTTAAACGCGTACAGTTTTGAAGGCAAATACTATGTGGGAATAATAATATCGAACGAAGCACATCCCAGAACATATAAATCAATTCTTGCCAGTCTTCAGTACAATAGGAACAGTAGCAGCAGCCTACTCCATATTTCAGAATTCAGACAGATCCTAGTTTCTGATACCGCATATTGACAGGAAAACATTTACCTCTAATCACCTAGCAAGTACTATAGAGAAAAATGAACAGAAACAAAACTTGATATTGGACAACTTTTGTAGACAGTGGCTCTAATCATAGTAGTCTTCATCTGTCAGAAGAAAAAGAGAATGCTTTCATTAGTAATCTTAACAAAACCACCAGTAGTCCATTTTAGGAAGAGAGAAGGATAGATCTGATATGAATAGAAGTTCAAATTTAAACTTACGTGCTTCCTCCTCTTGGTTCCAGTCATCATCGTCGTCATCAAACTCGATATTCTACAGGAAGTTAAGGTATTAGAGTGCTAAAGAGATGATAAATTACAATTCCAAAAAAAAAAAAAAATGATTCATATGTGTTCCAACATGTGAAGAAACATACACACCACATAATTTTGCCAAAAAATGAGCCATCTAATAGCCGTTTTTCCACATAAATGAAAACCTCAAGGTGTAACTTCCAAGGTACCCACCTGATTATAATCATCATCTGAATTCTCCTCTTCTACTTCTTCCTCTTCATGTTCATCCTCATCATCCCCATCCTTTTCTGTTTTCTTGTCTCCGTCCTAGAAGTACAAAAAACCATATTAACATGGTGAAAAAGAGAAACAAACAAAACTAGCAAAAACACGGAATTGCTTTCTTGTTGGTGCTTAGTGCATCCATATTAGTATCATAGTCCACAGCCTCAGACCGAAAAGCAGTAACATGTCTAAAATGCATAGATGTTATCAAAAATTGATTTTAGATAGATGAGCTGATGAAAATTTGAAAAACTGAAAGATTAGGGATGATGCTCTTGCCTTGTGCTTCTCTTCAAGCTTCTCAAAAACTTCAAATGCCTGATCATCTGTCAAAAAAGGTCAGATCCAAGTAAGGATCGACACATATATGGATGAACAACATGTAGCAGTAGCATTGATAATTCAGATTTTATTGCTGCTAACAGACATGACAACAGAATCGTACAACCCCGCAAGCAATGCAGTTTGCTAAAGTTCATGACAGAAGCAAAAGGGACATCATTCTTTATGAAACAAACCTGAGCTTCTATCCCAACGCAGCTTCTTACTGCTTGGCTGTCCTCGCTTAGAACCTGAAAAGAAACAAAATGTCAAGAGAGTATTCTGCTGCAACAACATAGCAGATAAATTTTATATGTACAGAAATACAAAAAAAAAAATCAAGATTACCTTGCACTAGTTCCACAGGGAAATTTGCAGGAGTTAGTATAAGATATGACGCAAGAGCTTCACGTTTGGAATGTGTCTTACGTTTCCTATCAGAATACCTTTCAATCTCTTTATCATCATTCTCTGATGGGATATCAACACACAAAAAAAACTTATCAGAAATAGCTCTACAAAAGCAAGCACAAATCTCTACAAATGCAAGGAATGAAGCAAAACCAGAGGATGCTTGATTGCTTGGAAGGAAAAAAAAGAGGCTGAAATGTTCATTAATTTGTAAAAATGTTTCAATGGAGATATAGATAGGGCTAATACAAAAGAAGAGTAGGTACTAAAATGATGAATTTCTGGTTAAATTGAGCTCGCAGGGAAGCAAGGCCCAAAAGAATATTATGATTTATGGATTCTAGGCCCCATATCAACACCAAGCTGAATGCAAGAGAAAGTTCTCTGTGCATGTCGAAGTCAAAATTATGTAGTCCATCAAAGTTCAACAATATATAGGAAACCATAACAGGTTCCACTCAGTAAAACAGACAGTCAGTCCAAATAAGCCAGAGCTCCAGTAAAACACTTCAGTACCCAATTCTTTGACCCAACAACTCAAAATAAACATGAATTACTTCTTGTAACATGTGTTAACTATCTGACCTATGCTACATATATAGTCGATTTGTATTAATCGAGAAGCAAGATATCCTAATGGGCAGGAAGAAGAACTAAGCATTGTCACGATAAGTTGAGCCATAGTAGTACTTTTCTTGGGGACATCCTCCTCCAGGTGGTAGCAAGAAGTCTTCCAGAAATCCTCAAATTTCAAGGTGGACTGTATCAGAGCCTTCTCCTCCATGGTCGCCCTGGCGCACGTCATCTCCGGCAGGGTGATGTCCTGAATATACCGACGCCCAAATCCGGTGAATCGCCCCAAAAAAAAATCACACCACGAGCATGGCGAAAATCGCATTCAGCAGCAACAACGAGAGGAGAGGGAAAGAATGGGTGCAGGGAAGTGTGGGGATGGCGGAGCGGGGAATGGAGTGGAGAGGAGAGGAGGTTCACCGGGAAATCCTCGTGGGGGGTGTGCTTGGCCGGGTGGTCGAAGCCGTACCCTCCTCCCCGCCTCCCCCGGCCTCTCCCGCGGCCCCGGGACGCCATCTGGAGGGGGGACGGATGTCGATCGAGGCGGCGAACCTCTCCGCGCGGCAGAAGCGCGGCCGGAGAAGAGAACAGCGGCGCGGCGCGAGGGGAAGTGCGGCGTCGGCGGCGGTACCGCGCGGCGTGGTGGTCCCGGGCTGGCTGTGTTAGGGTAGGCGGTTGGGCTTTTTATGGGCCTCATGGTGACTATTGGGCTTTGCGAGCTACCAGGTTGCACGTCAGTTCGGCTGTAGATGGAATAAGTTCGAGCATGTTTATTTTGAGGGACTGTCTGAAAATCATTCGACAGATTTTTAGTAGAAAATCAGTCGGATTTTCAAGCCACCACGACGTGCGGTTCAAATGAAAACATATCCACGTACGTCAGTCACCGGACGGTAATCACGTCAATGATGCTTAAAGAAAAGGAAAAACAAGCAACTTACATCTATTTACATCAACTTACATATATAATTTTAAAACTTACAGTGTAAATACACCGAAATTACATATGTAATTTTGAAACTTACAGTGTAAATACACTAAAATTACATATGTAACTTTGGGTACTTGCAATGTAAATTTATTTTATGAAAAATATAACGGTATATATAGTCCCAAAAATATCAAATCACACCTCAAACAATTAAGTTAACTATAGTGCAACAAAACAACGATGAGTAAAAAATTCCGTACATGTAAAACAAAAATTACACCCGCATATACTTAAAATTACATTGTAATTGTAGTGCACTTACGTTTTAATCGTGGTATAACTATGTTGTGAGTGGGTGTAGTGTAACTGCAGTGAAAGTTTTAAAAAAAGTTACGCATAGAAAGAAAGTAGTCGTTTGCTGCTTGCTCAGTTGGTACGATGCATGTCGTAGCATCCCGACATCATGGGTTCGATTCCCTGTTCTAGCGACATTTTTTTTTTCACTCAATGGCACATACACGTATCTCAAAGTAAATCATACGGTCAACAAATCGACTGATTTTTAACAGAAAATCTGTCGCCAGATATGTAGCAATTCCGTTATTTTGATGCCAAAAAAACCTTACCAAATTTTGGCTATGGCATAGTTACTAAAATTTTGGCAGGGTTTCTTATATAGTTACCAAAATTTGATAGCAAACTAAATATAGCCACTTTTTGTAACTTTACCAAAATTTAGTAAGGTTAAAAATAGCATCAAAGTGAACACGCCCTTCATTTTAGGTCCCTCAACTTGCCAGCGAAATTGATTTTTATATCCTTAGACCGAAATATCAGATACAACGGGTCATTAACTGTTAAAACCGTGTAATGTAGGTCCGACAGAAGTATGACATGTGGTTTTGTCCGACGTAAAAATTTGACCCGAATTAATAATGTTGAGTCAGTGTGAGCCTCACATGTCAATGCCTCTTCACCTATATCTCTTTGTTCAGTTGTGACTGAGAAGCATGGCGGCCGGCGACGGGTGGTGAAGAGGACAGTCGCTCACGGGAAAAGATAGCTCGATGGAGGAAGGACACCGACGGTGGCCATCGATGACGGCGATGGCAAGGCAGACTAGAAGAGAGGCAAGATCCGGGAGCATGACATCGTCCTCCCCTCACCCCTCGCTCCCCTCGCCCGTTCTTCCCCCACAGCCGCACGGGACGGGAGCCGGCCTCGCCGCCCACCGGAGGCAGCGTCCTGTCTCGAGTTCGCTCAGAAGCCGCTTGTCCTCCTCCTCTCTCCACGACCCCATCCGCGAACGCCGCCTCTACCGCCCACATCAACTCCTCCACCCACATCGCCGCAGAGGTGGGTGGTGATGGTGGCTGTTGCAGAGAGGCGCAAAGAAGGCTCTGTAGTGGTGAGCCCTTGCCGGAACCAGGATAGCCACGCAGACTTGGAATAGGGAGACCTCTAGTAATGTTGAACCCGAGAGCCTATCGGCGGTGGCGCGCGGCGCAAATTGGTAGCGGGGAAGAGCCAGTGGAGGAAGAAATCGGGGCGACGAATACCGAAGTCAACGGGTGGAGGTCCCCTCCGCTTGCCGGCCATCGGCCATGGCTTGAGCCCCACCCTTCCTCATCCCCTTACTCCTCGTCTCCTCCTTGCTCACGCCTTTTGCCGCAGTGGCTGCATTCGTCGGCCTCGAGTCCTTCCTGGCGGCGGTGACTACCCGCGACCCCTCTGCTGGCAATAACACCTTCGGCGCCCTCCCCACCCCGGTCCTCCGTCAGTTCTCGGCCTCTTCACCTTCTTCAGATGATGAGCTTTGCAGCCCCACGAGAACAGGAGAACAATTCAGATTCACTTCAAATGGATAGCATCAATTTGAACAATAAAGGTGAACGCAGTATTTCTGATATTTGATTTACTTAAGTCTTTTCTAACTCATGAATGATATGTATAATCTGTACTGATTAGTTTAGAAACTCACCAAAATTTTGATCCGATTTAGTTGATCAATTTGCAAAATCCAATAAGAAATGGGATGAGAAATTTGATTAGTTCGCAGCAAAAAAAGAATCATGAGCTAAGTTTAAAATCAAATACTAGCAGTACGAGATCTAAATTGGAACATATAGTTATATCCTGTTTAAATTCAGAACTAGTTTACTAATTTACATGATTTCTTATATGTGGATACAAGGTTACAAGTCAAATTACAATACATTTCTGATAAAAATTACAGAAAAAAACTATTGTAATTTTTGGTTGAAAGCATTTTACCTGAAATTACAAATTTTAGCAGTGTACATTTTGTGAAAATTAGCAATACAATCAAAATAAACTTGTAATTTCAAACAATGTTTACAGAAAGAAAATTATAAGGGTTGCCACCAATCATAGTTGATAGATTATTTAGTTGATAAATTTTTGGTTGAAAGCATTTTAAACACATAAGGTTTAGTATATTTGAAATTTGCAAGTTGATAGGTGCTAATTGGCACACTCTAATTAGTACACTAGAATATAGCAGATCTTGGTGCTAAAAAGAAATCAAACAGTTTTTTTTTTTAAAAAAAGTACGTTTAGTTGAAATGCCACAAAAGGTAAGATTTGTGGAAACATTTGGAAGATTTAAAGTTGTTGGAACAACTAAAAAATACAGTTAAGTTGTTGGTAACAATATTTGAGTACATCTTTTAGTTTTATCCCAACAAATATTCGATTACAATCGCTTAATTATTTGAACATTACATCCATAAGGCGTACAGAAAACACAGGACACGAACAAGGGATTTGGATCCGGTGCAGTTGGTAGTGTGACTGCAACTTATGCAGTCCACTATCAGCTGTTAGATCCGGATCCAAGGGCTAACATGCGTCCGGGTACTGTAGATAACTGTAGCAACATTGTTTAGTACTGCTTTTACATTCACTGTAGCTAAGGATCTAGTCCGTTCATCAACAAAATAGATGGCTCCTTTTGCTTGCAGTAGCTTAACTTGCAGTCCATATACAAACTGCATGCGATCCCAATTCACGAAGAAGATATACTAACAGACTTGCCGATCGATTCGATGAGCATATACGGTTGACTTGACTTAGCCTATAACCCCGGTGGATCGAACAACGGGTTACTACACATTATTGGAGGAAAAGAAAGTTCAAAACGGAATTGAAACGACAGGTGATCGCACACACATACATATATGACCCAAACAGGCCTGGTGATCATCGACGTGGCAATTAATCGAGGACCGCTTGAAGGACGTCGAGCACCGGCGATGCCAGCCCGCCGGTTGCTAGGTCAATCGCTATCATGAAGCTTTTCTTGAGGAGAAACTTGCTGACGCTAGTGCTGCGGCTCCGCTCAACAACAGCAGTAGTGTTCCGAGCATCACTGGTAGTTTGGTTGGCACCGCTGCTGGTGTTGCCGGTGCCCTGGCCACGGCTGCTACTGTTGTTCTGGTTGGTGGTGCTGCCGCTACCCTGACCGACACCGCTTGGCGCGCCAGAGACGCACCCGATATGTAGCCGATAAGACGGAGACGTACAAGGGCCACAGATGTAGTGCCACACGGGCAAACGTTCAGGGCAAGCATTGCAGTGCCCTGAAGAAGGTACCATGTTGAGGTCGTGGTGTGGGTGAAGCGGGCTGCGGATCGTCTGAGGGAGCAACGTGCACAGGGGGTGCACGTCGAACTTGCACTGGATGCAGCGGTACACGAAATTTCCTGGGGGACAATGCTCCATGCAGAGGTCACATACCCATCCTTTATTCTCAGGAGGCATGCGGCAGAGCGTGAGGGTGTGCCACGGGTGGGCGAAGAAGGAGATGGTCTCCTTGAAGTAGTCGGCGCACGCCTCATGGATGTCGAAGTCGCAGGCGTTGCAGCGGTAGCCGACGAGGCCGGAGAGCTTGGCTTCGCAGATGTCGCAGACATGGCGCGAGGCGCTGCTGTACGGGGTCTTGAGAAGGCGGTGTTGTGGATGGGCGAAGTGTGTTATGTGGGCATCAGTTGCCATGTCTTTGGCTACGCTCAGAACGCCCAATCTCTCTCTTGGCCTAGTTTTTGGCTACAGTACTGTGTTCTACTACTTAGTATTTCTATAGATCGATCAGACTACTCCACGGTTAGTGTCTGCCTGTCTGGCTTCGGCGTGCCTCTAGGCGCTCAGCATACATTTATACCATCTTCACAGGCTCACAGTCTACTGCAGTAATTAATGATGTGGTGTTGTTTGACTCAGTGCCCATTTCTGTATGGAAAAAAGTCCAAATTACACCCGCTAAATTATTAGACGAGTGCAAATTAACCTCCTAGACACAAAAATCATACATTTTTCACTCTCAACTATTACACCCTCTAAATTATTGGATGAGTGCAAATTAACCTCTAGACACGAAAATCATACATTTTTCACTCTCAACTATAAATATTTTCATGAACGCCATATTAATATTAATATTGAATTTTTTTATTGAATTAAAATCCCCTTAACACAATCCAAAATAGTTTTGGTCCTATATTATGACAGCTCAATCAATAATTTTCATAATAAATCAGTGGAACCCACCTGTAAGAAGAGATGGACGGGTCCTACCAATTTTTTTTTTAAAAAATATTGACTAGTCTATCACATAAGAGCAAAACCAATCTAAAGTCTAGGTGGTAATTCTTACTCACTCACTAGTTTGGAGGTCTAATTCAAACTTTTTTTCCTTTCCCTAATCCCTAGTACCAATTGTTTCAGCGTATTATATAGTAATATGACCATTGACAGGTCGTTCGTCTTTATGATAAAGAGCATTGCAATAGAAAAAATAGTCTTATATATAAACTTCTTCCTTATAATGATTTCAACATTTTATTTAATTAGTCGCGAGTTATAAAAAAAAAATCAAGATTCGTTCATAACGTGGCACAATCAACATTTTTATAAGAAATTTGTATGTAACCAACTCCACTAAAAAAAATTACCGCATATTCTCTCTCTCTCTCTAAACTTCTGTCTTTTTGAGCGGGTGTGCTGGGAGCCTGGGATGGCCAAACTGGAGCCTGCAGTTTCAAGATAAGCTTCGCTCGTGTGATCTATGGTGCATGTTTATTATGCTTTTTTTTACAAACACACGTTTACTCACCCTTATAAACACACGTATACCATATTTCTACGTGCATATCCGAAAAACTGGACCGACACATATTTAGATTGATGAAGTTATCATGAATGTCTTGCTAACGACGGGTACGTCGCCTATCACTGAAAAAATAAATAACCATAAATGCGAGCATCCGTGTCAAGTCTAGGATTTTGAAATCGGGTAGATTGATTCTACCAAAGGAACCTAACTAAATGAGCTATGCTCACTTCGTTAAACTGGCCAATTATTTTTTTTAACGAACCAGCACCAGATAATACCGACATATTATATAGAGTAAGAGTAAAACTATTTACAAGCATGTTTCTCTTACGCGAGTTGTGCTAGTTAATTAGCTAGGCGAAAACAAGCTAAGGGTGTGTTCTAAACCAGGGATAAAAACAACTCATTAGCTGCACATAAAGCGAGAAACGTGATTTGTATATAATTTGAGTAATAATTATTTAAAAATAAAAAATTTATCTATCTTTTTTAAAATAACCTTTATACATAAATTTTTTGTACGAAGTCTGTCATTTAACATTTTGAAAAATATGCTCATGAAAATCAAGGAAATAGCCAAGCTGATTCTAACGGGGCAGTATACTACCTATTGAGAATCATCTGTGTCATGCATGGAGATCGTCACACTGGTCAATAAATTAACATGCATCAACATACATATAGTCATCACATTCCCATAAGACAAGTTGTACATTGATCACTGTATTGTTGCAATATCCCTCCACGATCAAATTAAGGCTTACTTTGGGCTTGGTCGCTCCAATCAATTAAGAGATTGACTCTGAGATTGATGATATACAATGTTCAATTGCGAGATTAGCTATCGAGACTAACGTATATCGATGGTGATACTTGGAAAAAGTCTATCAGTCCGGCGACTATAACCACCCTTCTATTACATGTGTTTACACGTTGTTTACATCAATTCGCTTAATTTTATAATAACTACTCCGTATTAACAATGTGAATAAGTATGGGTAGAATATAATTGCATGAAGGAACATTAACAAATTTATCATAATTTGTAACTAAGAATATTATCATAACAATAAATAATTTAGCATACATTACCGTGACATTTACCACAATCTGTTGAATTTCTAAATGTTCATTTGAAGTCATATTGTAAATATGTTGTAATATGAAAAGCCCAACCCATCTTTTGGTTGAACGAAACATTGAGTGCAATGGCTACAGTTATGGTTTTTATTCATCTTTTGTGCCGCTGCTTTGTGCTCCCTATGTGCGCAGGCGCAGCCATAACCGCCTTCGCTGCTGCTTGAGCTCCGACCTTGGCTGTGTTTAGATCGTGTACCAATTTTTTTTTAAAATATACAGACACACATTTGAAGTATTGAACGTAGATTAATAATAAAATAAATTACAGATTCCGCATGTAAACTGTGAGACGAATTTGAAAAGCCTAATTAATCTGTCATTAGCAAATGTTTACTGTAGCATCATATTGTCAAATCATAGCGTAATTAGACTCAAAAGATTCGTCTTGCAATTTACAGTCAGACTGTGCAATTGATTTTTTTCGTCCACATTTGATGCTCTATACATGTGTCCAAATATTTGATGTGATGGAAAAGTTGGAAGTTTGAAGAAAAAAATTGGAATCTAAACACGGCCCTTGTTGCCATCTCCCCGGCTGTTGCATGACCGGATGAACCCCTTATCCCCTCTTATATTCAACAGTAAACGATATACTACTAACACATAGTTAATTAAAGAGGAATATGCAATTGGTATCGCACATCCAGTATAATTTTAATCACTAACTACGATTTACTTTAAAAACCTAACCATGACTAAAGTACCACTCTAGTAAGAAAATGGGAAATTCAGTTGTGTGGTAATTGCAATGTGCTCAAAATAGAGCTAACATGTTAAAAGAGCAGAATAAAGTCAGTTCGGGAGGATTATTATTTCTATTTCTCCCTTCTTCTAGCTACTTTCTTCCTGTAAGCAGAATGAAACAATTAGTATTTGCTCCTCATTTTTTTATAGTCAAACTAAAAATTGAAATATATCGTTGTGTTAAAAACAATGAAAATGGCTGGTCCAACATGATAGAATATATTGTGTTCCTATAAGCTGCAAAAACATTAACACATATCTAAAAAAATGCAGAACAACGCTTCCAATTTGTAAACTCTAAATACTACGATCATTATTATCTGCTATGATTCAAACATTTATAATTTGATCTTCCAGTTTTTCAGAAGGTAATTAATTTGTCATGTCTAACACTTCAGCAACTTCTTAATTTCCAAATACCTATTATTAGCAAGGAGAAAGAAGAACAGGGTTACCTAAAAAGGATTAAATATAATTTGAAGGACAGATCTTTGCCCATCTCTATATAGTAAACAGCGTGTGTGCATTCATGACAACCTAAACTTTAGTACTGCTATATAAATTGGCGTAAAGAGATTCCACACTGAGGATTAAAAATAATTTTAAGGACAGAGGTTTGTCCATCTCTAAATACTTTTAAGGCAAGTTTATGACAATTCAAAGATCAATTAATTAATTTAGACCAGTTCCAATGTCGATCTATATAATTGGCAAGAGATATATATGAATATAGTAACACCTATTGCTCCAAACAAAAATGTGAAACTCTGAATTAAGGATATTATATATCTCTTGCCCTTGACTAAATCATAGGCCACGATCAGTGAGCTAGCTAGTGAGCCAGTGAGCGTACACGTCGAATCATTTTTTTTTTATAATGAAACAAATTTTGACCTTTATTTTGAAGAAGCTATAACCATTATGTCGGATCGATTAGTAGTGCACGTATATATGCTCACCTGTCAAATCTTGATTTGGTAAGTAACAAAAACACATAAACATAAATTAATATGTCAATTAGCAACTATTCGCAATAATTAACCTATTGGCTTAGCTAGGGGACAGAAAGTGGTGGAGCTAGAAAATTTATAAATCCTGGACAAGCCTAACTAAAACGGTAAAATCACTACCACTTATTTAATGTTTATATGCTCATTTCACTATCAATTGAAGACACAACAATTTTCTAACAAAAAAAACAGTTCAATATGCATGTAAAATTTCACTATAGCTTGAAAAGCAAGATGATTTTATTATAAAATAGACGATTCATATGCATGCTAGTTGAGTAGGTCACGTCCTCCATTACGAGACAGGCAAATCAACAACGGTGTTTAGGCCCTAATTGTATGATTAATGAAAAGTCAGCCTGCTCAACTTGTCCGGAAGTCAACGAATCGATGGATTTTAAAGTAGATAAATAACTCCATCTCGATGGGTCAGCATGCGCAGCCCGGGCAACTGCCCATGTTGGCCAGGTAGTTAATTAATCTGTTGCTGGACAGACAATCATCATGGGCAATTTGGCAGTTGACAATTAACAATGCCCACTAGCATTCTACTCCTAATTATATAGCCTACTTGTCTCTCCCATTGCGGATTTTGCTCAAAAGTACTCCCTCCGTCTAAAAAAAGGCAAACCCTGAGTTTCCGTGCCAACGTTTGACTGCCCGTCTTATTTGAAATTTTTTTATAATTAGTATTTTCATTGTTGTTAGATGATAAAACATGATTAATACTTTATGCGTGACTTATCTTTTTAATTTTTTCTTAATTTTTTCAAATAAGACGAACGATCAAATGTTGTACACGGAAACCATGGTTTGTCTTTTTTTGGATGGAGGGAGTATGCATCTATGAGCAAGTTCAATAGTATAGTCCACCACTAGCTCCAATTTATCTATAGCCGATCTAATAGCCAATTCATACAATAGTTGCTTACTATACTATTAACATATGGTCCCACCTGTCATACACACATTACATCTTGGAGTCCGTGCTGTAGCTGGCTACAGATCTGTAGCCCGCTGCTCTTCTCTCTCATCTTTTATCTCATTAAAATATGTTTATAACTGGCTAGTAGCCCGCTATTGTACGTGCTCTAAAAAGACTCTTCACAGTAGCAAGCTAGCATAGACATCTTGTGTC